AGTATATATATATATATATATATAAAAGGACCTTTAATGATAAAATTTAAAAAATATCGCTAATAAATGCTCTTTTAATAGGACAACAAAAAAAAAAAAAATTTCCCAAAAAGGGTTACTTTTTTAGATGAAAATTTTGGTCTCATATGGATAGTAATTCATTACCAAATATCATATTTCATTGCTAAAAATACAATAATAACAAAAAAGCAACCTTCGACACATGACCACATAAAGACCAACAACAACCTCCATTACCAAACTCACCACCCACCATCCTCCAAACAACCCTCCCCAACTATCACCTCTACCTCCACCTTCACCTTCCCCAATTATAGACCCACCACCTTTCCTACCCCAACCTTAGTCCTAGACCCATCTCCTCCTTCCCCTTTCCATAGCATGTTGCCCCTATTGTGGGTTTCTCACAACCAATCACTTCCTTCCCCAACTATCAACCTACTTCATCTCTCTATTTTCTCCCAGCTACCACCATTTCACTTCCATTGAAATTTGTGACAATTTGTTTTAGGTGACTGCTCAAGCGGTGGAAAGACCGCTCGAGTGGAGATAAGGTGCTCCCAATAGTTTGTTTTGCTAGTTGAAAAATTGCTTGAGGGAGCAAGTGGTCGCGTGAGCGAAGATGAGGGGATTCTCAATATCTCTTTTTGTAAGTATAGCTACTGAGAGATTTAAGTTACTACTCGAGCGATGAAAAGACCGCTTGAGCAGTCTACACAATATCAATCATTTAAAAAGTGACTTTTAGATCATTTCTTCACTTTTTCTTTTTTTTTCTTTTCTTTCATCTCTCTCTATCTCCAAAAACCCTAGCTATTTCTCTCTAGAAATCTTTCATTACACTAACATTCCAGCTAAAAGCTCTTGCAAAAAGTGAAGTTCACTTAGAGATCTTGGATTCTACCAATTGGATTTGGATTTTACAAAGAGTTCTTTGAAAACCTAGATTCTTTGTCTTAATTCTTGAGGTATGACTACTTTAACCTTATATCTCTTTGAATTGAAGATGATTATGTGGTGTTGCCATAACATGATGAGTTGATGAATGTTTCAAGTTATAAATTGAAGTTTTCTTACAAATATAGTATTTTCCTACAATTTTCTTAAATTTTCTCCTTTTAACCATGGATCATGAAAGTTTTTGATGAAAATTAATATTATATATGTTAGAGGGGCAAAAGCCCCAATAATTTTGAAGTTTTAGAAATAATGTAAATAAAATGAAATTGACCCTTAATTCTTCAAATTGATGATTGGCTTATGATAATAATGTGATATTCGAATGGTGCATGGTGAACTTGGAATGTTCTTGAGTTTTTATTTTTTATTTTTTTTTATTCACCAATGTTCTTGAGGTTTGACTAGTGATGTTAGATATTATCACTTTTACATTTGTTTTGATTGCTTGAATGGTGAAAGATTATTTTATTAAGGCCGGCTTCCTCAAAGGCTAACTTCAATGCCTCGTCTACTTCCTCTTCAGACTGATCTGACTTGTCGACCTCAGCTACTTCCACCCGCTCCGAATCGGATCCCTCAAAACCAAGTTGCCGCAAGTTTTTGAAGTCGGTCAAAATAAGAGCGGTAAGGGACTTTTCATCCTTCAGAATTGGGATGTTTTCTGCTGCCGAGAAGGTTGTATAAGTCGGCTCGTAGCGAAATAGCATATGGGCCGCCCTCCCCTGTTTCTAGAGACTTGGACGGCCGAAATATTTGAGCGCGACTTTGATTTCCGAAAGAACAGCGTCGTCGGTTGAGGTCAGGACTTTCTTCAAATCGTTTCCTGCACAAGCAAAACCATGAGGTCTCAGAAATGAAGCTTTTTTAAATATAGCAAAGAAAATAAACACAAGAAGCTATACAGCCACCTGGTTTGCCCCTCCGTCTAGGAATAAGATCGAGGCGATCCTCGCCTTTGCCGAATTCCCAGTTACCTTGGACAACGACCATAACATCATCGACTTGCTTCCCAGAACTGGAAAGCATAGTCACTAACTGATGGTCGGTGTCCTTTGGCCCTAAGAAAATAACGTCCGTGCTGACTAGAAGACTTAGCCAGGGCATAACAATGCCGGATAATCCTAAGGTGACGGTTTAGCTCTATAATCCCCATTACGATTCTAAAAAAGTTGACATTGGGTTGGGAAGGGATTAAACCCCAATGGCAAAGCACAGCCCTAAGGAATGGGTGAAGGGAGAAACAGACTCCACCCTCTGCGATTGATAGGAGAGGGAAGACAATTGTGGTTTCATTAGCCCTCTCCATATCGAGGGGGCCGTCTGCCACAAGTGACAGATGAACGTCATCAGGAATGGAGAAATGGCATCGGAAGCCAGAAATTCTATCCAAGGAGAGGAGATCTTTTAAATATTTTGCCATTTCCTTCAGCCTATAGGAATATGCTAAGCCAAAAACAAAGCAAGATAAAAGATTCAGAGCAGAGAGAGAGAGGACTTACAAGAGACGAAGAGGATAGTGAAGAAAAGGAAGTTGCAAAGGTAATTCGGAGGGCAGTCCAGCGACGAGCGTCTAAAAATGTGTATGTATTTAAAAAGACGTCAAAATTTTAAATCACAATAAATAGAAGTGTATGAAGGGGCGGGAAGTTGAAATGATAACCGAGAAGCGTATGCTTAGACATTTGCGTTGGAATGAGGTCAGCCGCCGAATTTCGGCTCTGACTTTTCGAGTTCGAAACCAAACACTCCAGCCAACTGTTGTCAGTGAAGTGCTTGGGGGGCAATTGTGGGGGCCGAATATTGGGAGTCGTAGAGAGGCCGAATAGTCAAACTTGGAGAGTCAAAATATATAGCACTCGGCGCCGTCTCGCATGCTCGAATCCTATCCTATTCGGCCAAATAGCCGATTGAGCAAGAGGCTGATTGAGCAAGGGGCCGAGTGAAAAGCGGTTTGCTACAAAAGAAGCCGAATGGCGAATTGAACGTGGACCCAATCCCGAGGCCCAAGAAAGAAAAAATATAAATAGAAGAACATCAGCCAGAAAGAGGTACGTGAGAACTATTACGCTTAATTTAAAATACAAGTAATCCAGAGTATAGAGACTGACTTGCCCGTCAGAGTGCTAATTCCGGCACCCCCGACTCGAGTGTTTATTCCTTTTCAGATGATTAGGTGAGGATCATGAGCGTCCTTCAGGATCAAAAGAGTATTTCCAAACCATTTCTCCACATCATCCAATCCTTTTTTTTTTTTTAAAAGGATCAACAAATTGTTTTGTTCTTTTTGACTACGAATAAATTTGTTTTCAACCACGGATTGAGTTTTGATGTTGTCAAAGAGTGTACAGTCATCTACTGTCACATAATGTTTCGTTACTTTTTATTTTATTTTTAAAAAATAAAAAAAGAAAGAGTTACCATCATTATGTTGAATTACCCTAGATAAAATACACTGAAATTCAGTTTGATACAAACAACGTCAATCTTTTTAGTCCTTAAAACGACTTTTTGGACAGTCAGATGTTTTAATACAAAATTAAATAACTAAAATCTTAGGTTTTTGGAATGAAAAATTTGCCAAATCATAGCTCAGAGGAAGGATTTTCTTCTATCAAAATTTAGGAGTAAATATTCAATATCATAGTGATGTTATATCATATCAGTCCAGCCATGTATATCCTGGTTCACATTATTACATAATTGAGTATGATCAATAATACAATGATGGTGTAACCGCCACATATATGTGGTGGGGTTAATTATACTTATATTGTAGTTTGTTATTTGATAGTGATACCATACATCGGTGACAATGTGGTATCACCATTGTATAGAATTTTTTTTTCTCCAAAATATAGAGTGAACAATGTTGTCTGGGTCTATTGTACCCACCATAAGTCCATGGGGCTCATTCTTTTATGAACGATATACTACATAGAAACTTACAAAATAAACAAATACAAAACGATCTGACTCATCTTGTGGATTGTTGTATTCCTCCCTTCTTTTCCCAACTTCTTTAAATCCCTTTTTAGTGGATGGTTTATTTGGATGATTTTTCTCATTTACTATTTTGTAGATGGTTTCTCCCATTTTTTTATCTTTCCCAATTCTGTGAGTGGGATCTTTTTTTTTTTAATTTTTATTTTATTTTAATATTGTTTTTCCCTTTTTATGTGTTTTTTGTGGGAAAATAATGAGATAACTAATTAAAGGACATGATTGAAGCTATTAACCTTCTTTTTTTTTCTTGGAATTTTTATTTTTTATTTTTTTAAATCTGGTATTTTCACTTGAAATTCATTTTTTTCTTAAATAAATACAAAATCTTCTTTATTGAACAAGGTATCGTCTTTAATTGCATATTTCAATGTCTAGGTTATCTTAGTCTTGAAATTGTCATTCATGCATTCGTTTAACAATTCTAAAATTAAGAATCAAAGTGATGATAAGTACTGACCGACCTTTAGTTAGGCAAAATGAGTGCCTAACACCTACACATCTTGTACCTAAGTTTCCGAACCTAGTTCATTGGTTATGATAGACTAGTTCCTTGTTGGTGGAGTCATTATGGTTCTTGGACCTTAAAACCAAGGGCAACTCTAGTTTTTGAACCTCCAATCAATTGTCATAAGCCTGTGGGAATTGATTTTGTGGGCTTCAGATTATGACTATTTGACCATTATCGGCTTGATCCTTTTTGATGCCAGTATAATACAAAATATGAGATTTCAAGCCATTGCACTTACACCTTACAAACTCAATTCCAAGTACCACGTCTAGCACATTGTAACCAATAAAAATCATGACTTGGCAACTTCACAAACTTGTGGCTAAAGTAAAACAAATTATATGAGATCTGAAGCTTCTAAAAAACACTCATGAAACCATATGTGCATCACAATCATTACATGATTAATCAAACAACATATATGTGCATTTTTTACAAGATTTGAAACAAATGCAACTCAAGATTTCCATCTAAAAAGAGAAAAAAGAAGGAAAAACAAAAGAAAATATATGACAATATATATATTATTTGATGATACGTACTTCACCATTACAAGTAGAACAGTACAATATGCCCTAAAGCATTGGCTTAGCTGGTAAGGGATGTTTAAACCAGGAGAAAATAGAAGCAAATTATTTCCTATAAAGCAAATGAAAAACAAAGGAAAGAAAGAAAAAAGTGGAAGAAAAGTACAATAGTATCAAATACGCGTTAAGTAGTTAAAACTACTTTAGAAACTGCATCATTTCATATGGTTCATTAAAATAAGTAGTAGGATATTTGCTTAATCAGGGTTCAGTGGAAGCAACAAGAGCATACGAACCTAGATCACCTTCAGCTGCAGCCTCATCATCGATGTTTTTGCATTCATGGTAAAACACAGTGAACGTCACAAACATGAGATAGTTCAGCAAGCAACTTATGAAGGCACGGGAAATAAGAATAACGAGCGATGCCTGAGTTGCGAGATTACAAATCCTCAAAATGACGAAGGTTATTCCAAAGATAACACAACTAGTTAGGAGAACCATAACACAACCCGTAATCTTCTTGCCTTTCATGAGCTCACTGGCTCTGTCAATCGCCTTTAGACCACATGAATCATCTTCTACTATCGAAACCACTAGGCTCAACATCCAAATAACCGGCACATAAAGATAACCAAATACTCCTAAAATGATTGCTATAGTTAATACACCTACTAAAAGAGGACCACGAACAATAATAATGATTAGCACAATAGTGATCCAGAAGAGATCAATGAGGGAGAAAGAGATTAGAGCCATGTAAATGCTAATAGTCACCGGACTTTTCCACCTTCGTTTAATCCTTGAAAACACATCTTTTGCGCTCACTTTTTTCCCTGTGTAGGCATCAGATGACAATGAAATAGTAGCCATTAAGAAAAATAGCATGATTACATAAGAAAATAGCCATTTTACCAACAGCAGGACTACAAAACGTCGGACATCGTTTAAGATCCCACTTTGCAAGAATTCATTGAATTCATTGCTTTCGTGATATTTTCCAATAAGCGACAACCTCCAAATTAAATCTTTCAACAATGGCGACAATTCTAGATTAATACAATATGCCAACAGACAGTATGAAAGAAACACTGAGAGGAAGATGGAGACCACGATGGTCCCATTCCTAATGCTGATTTTGAGGGATTTGTGTATAATTGAAAAAACGCCAATGGAAGATTGTGATTTTGACGAGTTCTCCACATGTTTATCAATTTGGTTTTTTGATATGGTTAGGCTCATATGAGGAGATGATAGATTAAGCTTAAGCATTTTGTTTTTGGTACAATCAAATTCAAGACAAATTTTGATTTATATATAGAAGTCACTGTTGGACACATGTTTATCCATTTCTTTTTGGTAGTGATTACTACTAGGATGAAACTAATAATTAATGACAAGAGGGTCGATTATTTGTAGGCCATAGAATACTACGATCTTGGGAACTTATGGTTGTCCAATTCTAATATGTCAAATTGAATAACCATCCAATCTTTTATTTTTATTTTTATTTATTTAGTTATTTGAAGAAGAAGGTTTAACATTTTGTTTTGCCTTTTTCTTTTTCTTTTTTTTTTCTTTTTTTTAAAACTAAATATTAACATGTTTTCCAAAATATATGAGCCTTTTAGTTTTAATACAAATTAAATAACTAAAAAACTTAGTTTTTTATTTTATTTTAGTTATATACTCTTTATAATGAGCCTCTTCGAATGCTAATTTCAAGACCAAATAGGTTTTTATTTTTATTTTGTTTGCTACAACAAAGACTTGTCCTCTGCATAAAAAGAAAGGTTGTGGGTGTTAAGATATCACCCAAGTGAGGTGATTAGGCTAACCCACTTTGGAGAAAATGGGGGTGGCACCTCCCTATTAACGGGTGGGGGTGGCCACCGCCCCACTAACACATTAAGCCTTCTTTTCCTCTTCATCAATGTGTATAAATGGGTGAGGGGTTGGATAGGCAAAATGAGAGATTGAGAACAAACGAAAGAGAGCGAAAGATGTGAGGCGGAGAGATCGTCTCTCTCGGTGTGAGCGAGGGAGACGGGTGAGTGGCTAAGTGATGATAGTGTGAGCTCATCCTTTATTGTAATCTTTCTGTAATCTCTCCATTGTTATAGTGATAACCGGTTACTCTCCTGTGAGCGTAGGCTTTAAGGCCGAACTACGTTAAATTTGGTGTCTCCTTCTGTGTGGGTGTGTTTTTCTACTTGGTATGATTTCTACAAGGTCTTGGGCGGGATCCCCGATCCCAACAAATGGCATCAGAGCCAGGTTGGTGGTGTTTTGGAACAAAAACAGTGTGATTTTCGAAACTGTTCAGAAATCAAGTTGCTCGAAATCAAGTTTTGAGCATACTAGGAGTAAGGTCTTGACGAAAGGAGTCAATAAATGCAAAGAAGACCACCGAAGGATCAAGGAGGCGCCCTCACGCCCCGCCTGAAGATGGAGTGTGAGGCCTAGTCTTAGCACGCGCGCCCACGTGCCGTGTAGTTAGCCGGCGCGTCGGCCTAGTCGTTCGCATGCGCCCTACACGCGACGTAAGGAAGAAGGTGAGTGCCGAGCGCACGTGTTGTCCACGCACAAGCCACGTGTCGCCACATAAGCAGCATATCAGCACCACTGCCACGTGTCATCCACGTCAGGGACCACGTGGTCGTCCAGTTAGCGACACATGGCATCCCACGTCAGCGACACATGGTAGTCTAGTCATCGTCATGTCAGCACGGTTGTGCCAGGTCAGTTGCCACGTCAGCACTTCGATGAGGGATCCAGTGCGACGTGGCTAAGGTGTAACCGCAAGAGAAAGGATCCAGTGCTTCGCGGCTAAGGTGTAGTCGCAAATCTGAGGCGTACAAAATGTTTTGTCTTGATCTAAGCGATTCGGAGTCCGTTTTTGGCGATCTAATAGTGTTTTCCCATTATTTGGAGTATTCCGGACACATCCGTAGGGTCAGATTTTGGAATTGGAGTTTCTGTAAAAACAGGCAGATCAAAGTGGCAGACGGCGTCAGGTGCAATGGACGGCATATTCTATTGGCACATGAAATATTCTCTAAACTTCTGAAAATTGCAATTTGGCCCAGAATTTTCAAAAAATTGTGGTGTGGCCCAACTTTTGGGGATGTTTTTTCAGTGAGGTCCCCGAAAGTGCAGCGAAGGTTGGTCCTAGCTAAACAGACCGTTCCAGACGCAACAACGAGGTCAGAATAGTGAAATTCTGAACAATTTTTAAAGATTGTCAAAACATGAGAGTTTGTTATCTTCAATAGTCGAAGGAAGGTTGCCGGATATTGTGGAACGCTGCGGATTCACTGAAGAGGTTAGAATGGGCAGATTCTGACCAGATTGGACAACCAGATACAGATCAAGGTAGATCATTGAAGACTAAAGGAGATCAGGCTTGATCAAATGGAAAATCAATGGAGATCAGGATTGGTCAGGGGGTGATAAGAGGATTGCAGAGATGATTATCTCCGGAGTCGATCAGAAGATTTGGTTCAATCAAAAGTCCATTCATCGGCGGACAGATGATTTGGCAACAAGTACAGGCTCAAGGAAATGTTGTGGCTGTTGGAGCTACTGTATACGAGTAGGTATTGGTGGTATGTGGACGTGTAGAACAATAGTTGCAGAGGAGCATACTAAGCGCAGAAGCACAAATGCAGACGTACAGTAATGCAAGGGTACAGTATCGTACAGAGGCGCGAGAAGAGTGTGTAGCAACGGGTTGTTGAAAGTTCACAGGAACTTCCAGACAGAGAAATTAAGACGGATAAAACGCAAGACTGCGCGCCAAGAAGTGGCAAGTCTCTTTTCTCTATGGTGGTTTCTTTAGTTCCATGGCAGCGGAGGATAGAGTTGATGCGGATCTCTCAAGCGAGCTCGACACAGGGAGACCAAAAGCCATGGGTGCAAGCACTATGCAAGGAATTGCATAGCTGACGATGCTTTGACAGATGGAGCTACTGTCAACTATCAATCTACTGGACAGCAAATAAGGGATTGCAAAAGCATTGACAACGAGCGTATGGGGAAACGCTGGAGGTTGTTCCGAAATGCAGAGGGCAAAGGTTGATAGTTCAGAGGAAAAGCTCCGAGCAAAGAAGACAGAGGACATTGATGGCATAAACAACGAGTTTTCTATTGCTCCAATGACTAGTCCTGCAAGGTAATACATGACAGTCAAGGGCATCTCAGCAGGGCGTGCAAGATATCCAATTAGGGGGTGTCAGATATCTTGGTCGCGCAAGTTCAAGCATAGCAAGTGAAGACATCTGAGACAAAAAGCATGGACGAGATGTGTGGGAGATAGGAGCAGAGGCTCTCTCCAAATCAAAGAGTGGTGTGAGTTGAGTTGAGGATGTAGGATTCCCTTCTCCTCTTGTATCTCTGGTGCATTATCTCTAGCTTCAGGGGATGTAGCGTCTTAGTGAGGAGATGAAGATTCTGTTGAAATTTGGGCGTGACAAGATTAGCAACAGTGTGTGCAGTGGATCACCTCACATGGATTGAGGGGGTGATTTGTTAGATATCACCCAAGTGAGGTGATTAGGCTAACCCACTTTGGAGAAAGTGGGGGTGGCACCTTCCCATTAATGGGTGGGGGTGGCCACCGCCCACTAACACATTAAGCCTTCTTCTCCTCTTCATCAATGTGTATAAATGGTGGAGGAGTTGGATAGGCAAAATGAGAGAGTGAGAACAAACCAAAGAGAGCGAGAGATGTGAGGCGGAGAGACCGTCTCTCTCGGTGTGAGCGAGAGAGACGGGTGAGTGGCTGAGTGAGGATAGTGTGAGCTCCTCCTCTATTGTAATCTTTCTGTAATCTCCCCATTGTTATAGTGATAACCGGTTACTCTCCCGTGGACGTAGGCTTTAAGGCCGAACCACGTTAAATATGGTGTCTCCTTCTGTGTGTGTGTTTTTTTTTGCTTGGTATGATTTCTATAAGGTCTTGGACGGGATTCCAGATCCCAATAGTGGGATGAGATTTTTGTTAAATTATCCCAAGAAGAAGGATTCTCTTTAATCCAAATCTAGGAGTAAAAATTCAGTGTAGTATATGAAACTGCCACATATACATTTCATAGTTTATTTTTAGCTAGTGGCACTATGTGTCAATAATAATGTAAATTGAATATTTTTTTAAATGTAGACTTAACAATATTGTCGAGATCTATTGTGCCCACCACAAGACTATGGAGCTCATTTTTTATGAGTAAAAATTTATTACACAAGAACTTACAAAATAACCGACTAAAAAACCAATAGATCTACAAACTTAAAAATAATATACATTAGTCACAAGGGAAGGAAAAATGAGCTGTGCAAACACAACTTTACACAAATACAAGGTTTTGATGCTAAGATTTTAAAGAAGTCTAAGTGCACAGAAAGTTTTGAATACAGAATATACATATATGACATATATATTTGTAATTATAGATGTTAATATTTTTTTATCTCAAACATCTATATATATGTTTGAAATATTTTATACACGTAGCACAACCGTAAAATTTATGAGTTGATGGGCACTTGCCTGAAAGTTCTCATGCATATGAGAAAAGTTATAGACCGAGATTAATCCATCCAAAAAAAATTTGATGGATGATTGTATGATAGAGATTAATTTATAAAGCCACCAGTAAAAGTCCTCTTTATTGAGGCTAAAAGAACCATAACACAATCGTCTGAATAATTGGTTGGCAATTACAATTCTGTAAGGACTGATTGATCCTTACTGGCACGCTCATAATTATAAAAGTAACTTTCGAAAGTCAAAAAGTCAACACAAATAAATCTGAATCACAAGATAAAAATTTTAAATAATTTTTGAATTAATAAAAGCAGGATTCATAGTATTACTCCATGCATATTGTCAAAACTGTTGGATTCATTATTGCATTTTTTATTTATTTATTTTTTAATGTAGATATTTATCATGTTGGAGAAAAGACAAAGACAGAGAGAAATGTGCTTGCCGTATACTCCAATCAATCATTTAGAATTATTTCTTGTCGAACCAGATTTTGAACTCTTCGCCACTTGCAAAAAGTGGAGCTGGAGACGGCACCTAAAATTTTGAGGCAATTATAAGTTGACTCTATTTTTTTTAATGTATATTATTTTATTATTATTATCATATATTGTTGCAAGTTATATTATATCATCCAATAGTTTTTTCTCATATGACATTACATTTTTTATGCTTTTAATTTCCTATAGAGAGAGAGAACAATGCTAGCAAGGTCGATATTTATGCATTTTGTCCCAAATTTTATTTAATGACTTAGA